TAATTGAACATTTATTACTTAGTGAGGTAATGTTTCTTTGGCCCTAACCCAGAGTATTTGCAACCGTATTACATGATCTGCTCCCAGATGCTTGCGAATAAAATAGAATTACATTCATCCTAATGAATTTTTGTAGTAGTCTTTTTTGTGTTATGTCTTAAGGTTTACAACATTCTTCCTGCTGTCACAAAAGCAATTTTGATTTTTTTATACTTCAGTGTCATTCCTATTTAGATCTTACTTTGTAACCTGTTACAGTAACTATGAATAATCATATGTAATTTCCCTTGCAACTTTTAGTTGGTTGGTTTGGATGAAATCACTCAATATAAGCATACGGTAACATTTTATATTTGCACAGTATGATAATTTTGATCTCAAACTACAACAGAAATAATCTCAAACAGTCATAGAATCATAAAAGATTAGGGTTGGAAGAGACCTCAGGAGGTCATCTAGTCCAGCCCGCTGCTCAAAGCAGGGCCAACCCCAACTAAATCATCCCAGCCAGGGCTTTGTCAAGCCGGGCCTTAAAAACCACTAAGGATGGAGATTCCGCCACCTCCCTATGTAAACCATTCCAGTACTTCACCACCCTCCTAGGGAAATAGTTTTTCCTAATAGCCAACCTAGATCTCCCCCACTGCAACTTGAGACCATTGCTCCTTGTTCTGTCATCTGTCACCACTGAAAACAGCCAAGCTCCATCCCCTTTGGAACCCCCCTTCAGGTAGTTGAAGGCTGCTATCAAATCCCCCCTCACTCTTCTCTTTTGCAGACTAAATAAGCCCAGTTCCCTCAGCCTCTCCTCTTAAAGCATGTGCCCCAGCCCCCTAATCATTTTCATTGCCCTCTGCTGGACTCTCTCCAATTTGTCCATCCTTTCTGTAGTGGGGGGCCCAAAACTGGACGCAGTACTCCAGATGTGGCCTCACCAGTGCCGAATAGAGGGGAAATAATTACTTCCCTCAATCTGCTGGCAGTGCTCATACTAATTCAGTCCAATAAGCCGTTAGCCTTCTTAGCAACAAAGGCACACTGTTGACTCGTATCCAGCTTCTCGTCCACTGTAATCCCCAGGTCCTTTTCTGCAGAACTGCTGCTTAGCCAGTCGGTCCCCAACCTGTAGCAGTGCATGGGATTTTTCCGTCCTAAGTGCAGGACTCTGATGCACTTTATCAGTATAATACATTAAAGAAATTATTTTATCCATACTTATGTTCTGCTTCATTTAATTATTATATGTTGTGTAGAACAAGCAGGGGCCATTTGATAATGATTTATTTCCACAAGCAACTTTAGGGTACTTTTTCTAAGATGACCTATATGAACAATAGTTAACACTAACCTCATACTTTTGAAGATCAGTGAACTTGTAGTTTGTCTATGGAGTCCAAAAACTTTAAATAAAATATTTCCTATTATTATAAAGTTGATTGAGGTTAGTTATTCACTATGTGCAAATTCAGAAAAAACACTCCATCCTCAACCACAGCCTCAGAGTAAACAAAAGAACCATGGATTCTTTCCTACAGGGGCAGAATGACCTCACCTTCTCATAGAAGTTGTTTAGTACCTCACAAGGACTCTTTGTTCTGAGTCCCATCTAACAGAGCACTTTGTCTTCCATTTTTGTCAGGTGAGAGATTAACATCTCCATCTCTCTGCTTTCATAGCCATTCCACCCAGTTTAGGGGATGGGTTAGAGAGACCATAGGCTGTAGCACTTAGAAGGGGAAGAATAAGGGGGGATAATGTCTGCCTGCATGGAAGTTTTGAGGATTAATTGGTTAATGTTCGTAAAATGCTTTGAAAAACATATGGACCTGATCCAACACCCACTGATGTCAATTCAAAGATTCCCATTGACTTCAAATGGGAATGAGTCCTAAATAAGTGTGAAGTATTCCCAAGCTCCTACCCTTTACAACTGAACTGAGCCAAATTATTCATTATATTTAAGCTTTTAATTTTTTTTCTTTGACAAGGCAAGTTGGTTGCCTTTTCATGCTAGTATGCAGTGAAAGGTCCAATGTTTTCTTTATTGACTTTGATGCAACTTTAGGATTTTAGAAATTAGCTATTTCAATTTACTCTTGTATATCTGGTTCTGAAGAATAGCAGCACTGCCACCAATACCTCAGGGTGCTGGTTTAGATTTTTCAAACTCTGTGGCACACAGCTTTTTTTGGTGAGCAAAAAACTTCTGAATAACAAGTTGCTTGGGTTAAGCAAAGAGGGAGTGTGCGAAGTAAAGAGACCAGAACAGAAAGATAGGATGAAGCTAAACTGGGGAAGGCCTTGGAGAATGAAATGAGATGCTTGAATATGATACAGGATAGAACATAGAATTAGTAAACAAATATTTGGAATATTTAAGATATTCCTGACCTTATTATACAAATGTTAAGGACTCTCAGATGCTGGACCTAAGTTGTGTTTCATTATAACAGATGTGACTCAAAACTAAATATTAATGGAATTCTTGCAGTTGGAGGTCTTCAGCTCAGAATTTGCTCATCTTACTACAGGAATAATAAACTAATGATTTGGGAACAGTATGCAGTGCCACTGGGAAAACACTGTAGTTCTTGTCAGTTACCTGGAGCACTGTGTTCAGTTCAAGTCACCCTTGAAGAATGGGGGGGGAGGGGGGAGGGAGAATCTGTCAGCAAGTATGTCGGTAACAATACAGACCAAAAAAAAAAAAAGATTATAGTAACTTTTTTTGATTAATAGATTCCTTACTAGGCATATTAATATAGAACTTTGTGTAATTTATTTAAATTACAATACAGAACTGACCTGTCAGAAGCAGTGCTAAGGCTTGAGGGAGTGAGGGGTAACAGAGGAGCTGAGAGAGAGGGAATGAGCCTGGAGGGTGTTGGGTGTGGGTGGGAGTTTTTTCTTTGGGGCAGGGGGTGCTATTGTTAGGGTGTTGGGAAGCCTCCCCCGTGCAGACGCTGGCTGACCCCAAGCCTCTCCCATTCTGTCAGGCAGGTCTGCCCCTGTCCCTGCATTCCTCATCCCCATAGGTCTCTTCAGCCCCTCTCCCTTATCCCCAGGCTCAACACTGTCACCCCACTAGTTCCTGAGCCCATGCTCCAGTCTGTCCCCCCCACTAACCATTCTGAACCCCAGTCTCTGACCCCCCCCCCCAGCAGCTTTGTGTGCCCCACTCTGTCCTAACCTGGCTCCGCAGGCAGGGTGCTGTGATGAACTCTACTCCTGGGGGAATTCTGCAGCACTGGGCATAGAATTTTGTACTTTCCCACATAAAAAACATTTTGCTTAAGAAGTACTGCAGTTCCGCCTTTTGCCCACCAGAGACTGCCAGCCAGCTGTTCTAGAGCCAAGTGGCCTCTGGTGGGCAAAAGGCAGAATTGGAGCACTTATTAGGCAAAATGGTTTTTATGCAGGAAAATACAAAATTATGCAAGACAGATGAATTCTGCACATCCACAGATGCGCAGAATTCCTCCAGGAGTAGATTAAGAAATGATGACTAAGGGGTATAGAAAATAATGAATGGTAGAGAAAGTGAATTGGGTGTGCCTATGTATCTTTTTTCATAATGCAAGAACAGGAAGCATTCAGTTAAATTAATAGGCAATACATTTAAAATATTTTTTAGACGGTGGAGCTTGTTGCCACAAGATATGGTGGAGACCAAGAGTTTAAGATTAAAAAATCATAGTAATTTATACATATATATATTTACTGAAAGCCTCCACAGTTATATAGCTAGCATAAGAATTTTTTAGTTAATATAAATATTGCAAAGCTTCATGCTTCAGGGCATACGCCAGCCAGGGGTTAGGAAGAAATGTACCTTATGGGGAAGTTGAACACCATGTTTTTTGCGGGGGGAGGGGAGTGGATTGGCACCTTCCTTTGAAGCCCCAGGTACTAACTAATGTCACAGTCAAGTTACTGGATCACTAGTCAGGTCTGATATGACAATTTCTTTGTTCCTGAATTCCCCATTATCTATAGCTCCAAACACTAAGAAGAAACTATTTATTGTCCCAATTTGGTCCCTCTGGGGTGGAACACAGCAGTTGTTTAAAAGCACCCAATAGCACTGTTCAGGAGTTTAATACAGAAAGCTAAGACTACCATGTCCCTCTATAACTGCAAGGGAACATGTAAGCAGGGAGAAAGTAATTGCCCTTGCTGGAACATGACCATGTTACTAGGGTTAATATTCCCACTCTATGAAATGCACTATGTGATCTTTATTCACCGCAAGTGGTGTTTGTCTCCCTAGCAGCATAAAACCTGAAGATATCTTTGGTCTGCAGGACAAAATCCTGGCCTCAGTGAAGTCAATGGGAGTTTTACCTTTAATTTCAATGGGGCTGAGATTTCACCCATGGATTTTTCTTTTACCACTGTGTAAGATGAACAGTTCAAAACTATTTGTACTTTTGAGACGACCAGTTTTAAATATGGAATGGCGTATGGTTTTCCCACTGTTCACCATTTTAAATAAGTAATTTTCTTAAGTTTCATATTGATGAAAGCTTGTGTGTAATTATTTTTTGTAAGATGATTTTCACTGTCAAAAGGAATGCTCCCTTTGTGAGTATTGAGGGTGCTAAGGGAGTTCTGAGAAAGGGGACAGGCAGGGAACAACATCACATTGCCAAGTTATTTAGTTGCATATTCTATGTTAATATACCTGCAGTTATATCCTCAGTATGGCTGGATTTTAAAGGGGGTAGTTTGAATGATGATATCAAGTAATTGCTGTATTAATGCATCTCTTATGTAAGCTGTCCATCTTGTTGTCCTCCTCTTTGTAGGTTAATTCATGCCATGTTGACCTTTTCATCTTACCTCAGTGCCTAATATTGTATAATTTACTTCGGTGACTTTTATTTATTTCGGTAAAGAGCAATAGCAGTACTAATCCTTCATCAAATGAGTCAAGACCAGAACTGGAAATCTAAAAAGCATTTGTGTTGAATAATACAGGTTTATTTTTCCTTTCTCAGCAGATATATGGAGTGATCACTCATTTCAGACCGACCCCGACTTGCCACCTGGCTGGAAAAAAATCAATGACATTGCTGGGATCTATTATTGGCACATACCAACAGGAACAACCCAGTGGGAACGTCCTGTCTCCATACCAACAGATCTTCAGAGCTCAAGGAAAGGATCACTTAATTCTATTACCCCATCTCCTACCCCAGAAACTGAGGTAAAATGTAGTGATCTCTTACTACTGAGTATTGAAAAGAAATTAGGATCTCTTTCAACCAGTTACTTGCACCTAAAACAGTAACATAAGCTTTAGAATCCACTATACGTTAGCATCTCTAAATGTAGCTGTTTGTTGATAATAAACCATAAATATTTTTTGTTTTTAATGACTTTGTCTCACGAAACACCTTTAAAGATTTGGATGTGTAGTATGAAAGGAGACATCATATCTCGTACAAAATTAGACAGCCTGTATGTGTGATTAATGTGAAATGATTAAGGTTCCCTAGGGTTCGGAAGCAATACTTAATTACACAGGTGCAGGCTATATAAAATATTTACACATTAACAGTCTCTTGGCTTGACTCTTCGTAATTACATCTTCTCTTAGCTGTTCAGTTGCTTGGAGTGTCACACACACACATTGGAAGTTACACACCAGATGGTAACTACTGAACGTATATATACAATACAATTAAATATACAAAGCATTCTAAAGTGAAAGCACTTTAGAATCATACCAGAAAAATTATCTGAGCACAAACATCATTCTTTTGCGCTGAATTTTTAAACTAGAAATGGGGTGTCCTCTGTCTTCAAGCATTGTGAAAAAGAAGAAAACTTGCTAAATATTTTTAAATGGTAATAACCCACTAAAATACCAATTTCTGGGGCACTCCTGGGATAACTTACTGATGTCTATACATGAAAATATAAAATACCAAATGGAACAGTAAACTAGAAAAATTGCAGCTAATTTATAATTTTTGAAATATATATATATGCTTGGCTTGCCTTGACCATGCAAACACTTAAATATGTGTAACTTCACTTGCGTGATTTGAGTGGGAGTACTCACATGAGTGAAGTTATGGTTAGTGTGTGAACCATTTCATTTGTGGTTCACATGGGTCAAGACTTCCCTGGAATTCACTATATGCCAGACGTGTTGACTACTAAATGGATAAAGTTAAGTGATATGAAGGATGAAGAGTGATCGGTTAGCTCTCAGATAATTCTGAAATTCAGAGGAATTTAAAGTGCTACCAATGTTTCCAGTGTAAATTTCTGTATTTTAAAATTTATAACTCAGTCATAAATTATTTGTTTCCTTCTAAAACTTTATGGACAAGATTTTGACTATTAACTTTACATCTTTGAAATAACTAAATTATGTAAAAATAAAAATCAGTAAGGATGCTAAATTACGGGGGGGGAAATATGAATTTGTTTATTTAGTGTTTTTTCTTTCACTGATGGTAAAGTAGCTTTTAATTGTAGGACTGACATTTTTCATTTTAATATTACAGACAAGTATCATAGGGCTTGTGTACACAGTGGGGTGATGTGTTTTTTGAGTGTGTGATTTCTAAACCACACTGAAGAGTTACACATAAATTGATCTGGATAGACCCTGTTGGTGCACTTTAAAGTAATGCTGTTTGAAACAGTACTATGTTAAAGTGAACTAGGGAACCTTTGGTATGCACCAGGAAGTTCTACATGGACCAATTAATCCGCAACACACTAATGTATTTTAGAAATCGCTCTCTGTAGACAGGTTTCAGAGTAACAGCTGTGTTAGTCTGTATTCGCAAAAAGAAAAGGAGTACTTGTGGCACCTTAGAGACTAACCAATTTATTTGAGCATAAGCTTTCGTGAGCTACAGCTCACTTCATCGGATGCATACTGTGAAAGTATAGAAGATCTTTTTATACACACAAAGCATGAAAAAATGGGTGTTTACCACTACAAAAGGTTTTCTCTCTCCCCCCACCCCACTCTCCTGCTGGTAATAGCTTATCTAAAGTGATCACTCTCCTTACAATGTGTATGATAATCAAGGTGGGCCATTTCCAGCACAAATCCAGGGTTTAAAAAGAACGTCTGGGGGGAGGAGGGTAGGAAAAAACAAGGGGAAATAGGTTACCTTGCATAATGACTTAGCCACTCCCAGTCTCTATTCAAGCCTAAGTTAATTGTATCCAATTTGCAAATGAATTCCAATTCAACAGTCTCTCGCTGGAGTCTGGTTTTGAAGTTTTTTTGTTGTAATATCGCAACTTTCATGTGTGTAATCGCGTGACCAGAGAGATTGAAGTGTTCTCCGACTGGTTTATGAATGTTATAATTCGTGACATCTGATTTGTGTCCATTTATTCTTTTACGTAGAGACTGTCCAGTTTGACCAATGTACATGGCAGAGGGGCATTGCTGGCACATGATGGCATATATCACATTGGTGGATGTGCAGGTGAATGCACCTCTGATAGTGTAGCCACTATCACTTCAATCTCTCTGGTCACGCGATTACAGACATGAAAGTTGCGATATTACAACAAAAAATCTTCAAAACCAGACTCCAGCGAGAGACTGTTGAATTGGAATTCATTTGCAAATTGGATACAATTAACTTAGGCTTGAATAGAGACTGGGAGTGGCTAAGTCATTATGCAAGGTAACGTATTTCCCCTTGTTTTTTCCTACCCCCCCCCCCCAAGACGTTCTTGTTAAACCTTGGATTTATGCTGGAAATCGCCCACCTTGATCATCATACACATTGTAAGGAGAGTGATCACTTTAGATAAGCTATTACCAGCAGGAGAGTGGGGTGGGGGGAGAGAGAAAACCTTTTGTAGTGGTAAATCCCCATTTTTTCATGCTTTGTGTGTATAAAAAGATCTTCTATACTTTCCACAGTATGCATCCGATGAAGAGAGCTGTAGCTCACTAAAGCTTATGCTCAAATAAATTAGTTAGTCTCTAAGGTGCCACAAGTACTCCTTTTCTTTCTCTGTAGACAGTATTACCCTACTGTGTAGACAAGCTCTTAAAACATTTGGGAATTACTTTTAATAATAAACTTTTACATTACAGACAATGGTTTGCCAGGATAAAGGAGAATAATTTTTTTTCTGATCTTCACATTAAAGTATCATGTGAAATCTATGAATTAAGAAAACAAAGGTTTGGATCCAATATATTAAAAATCCTGAAAAAGCTGTTATGAATGGTCATGCCAAGACCAAATATCCAGGGCATAGGAGAGGGCCATGTAGATTTTGATACAATGTGGGCGCTAATCCTGTAAGGTATTCACCCAGGCAGAGAGCATTATACCTGTGCAGATCCCTTTGCAAGATCAGGAACATAGACTGTAGTGTAGAAGCTTCTACGCAGGAATTTATATAATAATAATTTCAACCAGCAAGCTCTCAGACAATTTATCTCTATTTCAATGAGTCTCGAGATATGTTTCTATAATAAAGTTTTATGCAAAAATATGGTCGGTGGTGTCAAATTGCAATAGGAAATTGTCTCCAAGAGTTTCTCCATTTTGTTTTGTAAACTTCTAACACACGATGATTAATTAATGTTGATTTTCGGTCTGGACCAGTCCTGAAGCAGCAGTGCAATAGGATACCACACACATGTTCAAATAGGAGGACCTTGTCCCTGGACTGGCACGGTCTGGGAACACTGCGGAGGCAGGTAGCTGAGGCCCTGACAGGAAAGGGATTGGAAGGTCAACTTGTGGCACTGTCTAGCAACGCTAACTGAAGTGAAATGTCACTGCGATATCAGGAATTTTGAAGTTAAATAAAAGATGGAATTGAGGGAGGACTCCAGTAAGTTTCAGTTGGTTCTGGAAAGAGGGTTAAGGAAAGAAAAACAATGTTATGATGAACTAATCTTAGCATATGTGCAGCGTGTCTCAAGTGGCACGTGACCAGGATTCATCATCGAATCTGGTCCACTGGTTGGATCATTAGCTTCCCCAGGTTGGGCTGGGTACTGATGGGGAGTGCAATGTGAATGGTGATCCGTGCCTCCCCAATAGAAACCAAAGAATTCAAAGTCTAGTCTGAGTCACCTTCCTTTTTATGTTTTTCTTTGGATTTTCCCAAGTCCCAAACTGGCACTTGATATTATTTTCTGTAAGTATCTCAGCACCTCTGGGCAACTCGAGGATAGTGTTGGTCTCAGTTTAGAATGCCCTCGTTTTCGTTGGACTGTAGCCCACCCTGAATGCTCCACACACGTTTTTTTAAAAAAATGTGTGAATGGTATTCTGTGTCTACAGTGTTTTTTATTTAATCAGAGAATTTATGATATCATCAGTTAAACATTTCACTGAATACATGGATTTTGGTATAGAATAATTTGGTCTGGAAGGCTTATTAGTTCATTCCTCTGCATTGTGGCAAGATTCATATAACTTCTGTAGAAAAAGTTGGTGGATTTACAGGTTTCAGCTGAATAAGAGTGAGCTGGAATAAAGTACCATTATACAGGGGACATTCCAGTTCAGCCCCAATATTATCTTTTTCCATCAGTTCACAAGAGTTTGCTTTATCTTCACCATACTTCTCTTTTTAGAAACCCTCAGCCCTCTTACACCTACTTGAAATTTGTTTATTTGTGCTGTTCAGCCTTTCAGGTTTCTCAAATAAACACTTAGATATATTTTCTTCCTCAACAACTAATATTCTTACCCTTTTAAAGATCCTTTTTCTCATTCATTTATTTTTCTTTGTGTCCCTGTCTCTTAACTAAAGTGATATTCTGAAGCATTGCTTCAATCAGTAGAGCATAGCCTTGAGTTGAAAGTGATTCTAATTTGACAGACTTCCTTAAGGAAGGTTTGTAAGGAACAAAGACAAAAGTCAGGTATTGTTTCATAGTATATCTTGATATGAATATTTAGTACAAGGAAAACAAGTTAATCCAACAGAGAGAAGCAGAGAAAAATTGGGTAGGGGGAAAGTGACACTGTTAATGCAAATAGCCAAAAAACATTGGTCCAAATGGAAAAAAGTGGGAAAAAATTAGTGTATTCTCAAATTTATTATTATTTTTTTTTGCTGGTTGCAAGACATTTTTTTCCTGCTTTTATAGCAGCAGATGCTTCTGTGCCATTTTCATCAGCACAGAAAATGGCTCCAGTATAATTGTAGGTTAAGAATAATTTGAAAAATCCTGCAACCTGTTCAGAGAAAATAATGCTAAATATGTGGATTTTATATACTTTTTAAAAAAATATCTTGAAAATCTGTTTTGGCCATGAACAATTTATAGAGTTCTCTCCAATAAGTTATTAAATAAATTAATTTGAGAACCTTTATGTTCAGTATATAAAATATCTTCTTCTAAGTTTTTGAGTTTATTTTTATCTTGTTGCCTTTTTCCTTAATTGTATCTTGCAGCCAGAAGCAAATTTAGTATGAGCAGAACATGGGGAGATACTTTTTTGTATCTAATCTTAGCATTTTTGAAGGTTTAAGGTGAATTCCCTAAATTAATCGTTTAGTTCCTTGAAGCATAGATTTTCAGAAGGGATCTAACTGATGGTATGAATTTCATTAGTTTCTTTATATTATACTAAAAGTTTATTGCTATGTTCTCCCCTACATGGGAATAGCCTGTGGAGGGCAAAGGAAACCACAGGATTTCACTTTCCCTCAGGGGTGGGATTTATCCTCGGGGGTGGGCCACAACAGCAGGAGCTGGTGGTTTGGTCCCTTTAAACTATGGATCTTAAGGAATCCTCAGGAAGCAAATTTTCTCTCTACTGACTCTACTGCCATAGGATCTATGGCTCTTATAGGTTAATTGTTTACAAGCTAGGGGTTCCCAAGGGAAAGCTTTGCTGATCCTATTAACTACCACTAAATTCCAGGTACAGTGTAACAGGATGACAGCTACTGCAGGAGCTGTTCTATCCAGGAGCTTCTGCAGCATGGCTGTTTCAGGAACATCTATCTCCTGAAGGCAGGGATCCATAGCACAAGTTAATTCAGAATTAGGTTGTATTAATTTGTGCTGCTTTGCCTGGTAAAGTGGGTTAATAAATCTGGAGGAGGTCAGCCTGAACAGAGCTTTTTAATATTGGGGAATTTAATGGGAGGAAAGAGATGGTCTAATGTCATCTAAATGTCGTATTCTCCCTCCACAGCAGTTGAGTAACTCCTGTTCAAGTCCATGGGAGTTACTCATATACTGTGGAGAGATGGAGAATAGGGACTCTATGATTGGCACTTAAGCTGTATCTATCCTAGGAGCTAGGGATGTGATTCCCCTGCTTGTGTACACATACTTGTACCAGCTCTCATTAAACGAGCACAAGTATAAAGAGCCGTGTAGCCATGGCAGCACGGGTAGTGGCAACGGAGATGAGTACGCAGTCACCTGAAACCAGTGGGTACGTACTCGGCACAGCTAAGCCAGGCCTGTGCTGCTGCTACCAGTGCTTCTGTGGCTGCACCACTATTTATACTCACGCTAGCTCCATGTGAGCCAGGAAACCACACTCCTAGCCCCCTCTGGCACTCTTTGCAGAGAACTCTCAGCATCTCTCAGCTTGCTGATACTGATTGTAACAGTGTTAATAGTTTTAACAGTGTTAAAAATGCGCATTTGATGGATTATATAGCAGTTTCCTTAGAGACTCTTGAATGAGGTTAGGGACATTCGTTGTTTGTTTAAAAAAAAACAACACACATGGAAGTTGTGTTAGAGTGTTCAGAATTGTTTTTGTTGCAAGAAGTCTGCCTGTGCTCCCTACTAATCACCTTTTTCCATCCATTGTCCTTTTTTCTTCCTGTGATCTGGAAATTATTTGACCCTTATGCTGTATATTGCCTTGTATTTCAATGTTTCTAGGTCACACTATATTTAGAGTTAGAATACTCAACAAATGAAGCCCAGAGAAATGGAAATTTCATTTTTCTCTGAATTGCTGTTTTGTAGCAGGTCATAGCAGTTATGGCCAACATTCACATTCAGACTCATTTTGCTTGCTTTCAAGATCATACCTAAAGAGTAATCTCATTGTCTGTTTTTAATTCATATTAACTTTTCCTTGTTCCAATCATTTGTTTTGGTAAGTAACTGTAGAAACATCTCCTCCTGACCCCCCACCCCTCCCCACTCCTCCCAATGCCATTGTATAGTGGACTAACTAGTTGAAGTTTTGAGGGGATCTGTTCCCTAACCCATCCTGTAAATATCAATGCTAACAACAGTGTCTTGTGTTTTTTTTTCTCTTTTTCTTTTTTTTTTTTTATCAATGTGCTTCTTCCTGTGTGAATAATTATATGTCTAGAAACAGCCATGGAGTGATTTTGCTGTACTGAATGGGGGAAAGATTAATAGTGACATTTGGAAGGCAAGTATATTGTCAGATTTTAGAATATTTAATATTATTACCCTTGTTTTTGCATGGCAGTGGCTGTATTTTTGTTTTGTTCTGTTTTGTTTTTTGCCTCACAAATGTCATTCATAATATAGGCCAAAGTAAATGGGGTATTGCTAGGGATATCTAGCACACAAACATGCTGCCATTTTCTGATCTTTGCACTTAGAATGGATTCAGTCTAAATCAACAGGGTAAATATCATGTTGTAAAAATAAGATGCCTGCACTGAATGAAAAATAATGTGAAAATATATGCATGCCTTTTTTTAACTTTATCCAGAAACACTGTATGCTTCTTGGCAGGGAGGATTTTATTTCCCTTTGAAATTAGAGGTAATTTGCTGTAGCACATGCCTGAAAATGTATTAATAATGGTATGTTTATCTTTAGGACCTTCATGCAGCCACAGTGAATCCAGACCCCAGTCTAAAAGAATTTGAGGGAGCAACATTACGCTATGCGTCTTTGAAGCTCAGGTATGTTGTTTTAAGAAATCTCCATAGAGTGGCCACCTTGAATATGTTGCACGGTGCTATAAACTATATTGACTGTAAACCCTATTTTCAATATTTATTCAATGTTGTCTCATTGTTGCCTTGTACTCCCCTGTCTGTCTGTATCCATCCGTTTCTCTTGTCTTATATTTAGGTTATAAGCTTTTTGGAGCAGGGACTATCCTTTTGTTCCATGATTGTACAGTGCCACTGTGGGGTTCTGATCCATGACTAGGGCTCCTAAACACTGTGGTAATACAAATAATTAATAATAATAATATTTTTTCATTACAGAAATGCTCCACAGTCTAATGAAGATGATTCCTGTAGCATCAACAGTGATCCAGAAGCCAAGGTCTGTAAGAAAATATTTAAAAGGGATAGCAATTTAAGCTTGTAATTGTAAACAATGCATGCAGGGAGCAAGTTGTCTTGTAGGTTTAAACTTAAATACCCCATTCAAGATGTTAGTTGAAATGGTAATGTTTTGGCACAATGCACATAGATTTTAACTATGTGAGTCTCTAAGAGTATGTATATACTGCAATGTAAGCCCAGACTCACATTCAGTCTTCAGCCCAAACCCCCTTCCATCTACATGCAAATTTATCAGACTCGGGCTGGGTCCAAGGACCTACAGGGGTGGAGGGTTTGAGCCAGGGTCAAGCCGAGACCCAGGGTTTGAGCTCTGTTGCTTTGCAGTGTAGACGCAGCCCCCGCATCTCGGATCCTAGGAATCTGCCAAAAGTATCCCACGGGCCAGCTTCCTTTGTCATATCTACTCCAATCGACTCGAGGAGGTTTCTGTCTTGTTTGTGCTTTCACTGTTCATGCTCGTTCATGCACTTTTTTTTTTTTCTGTGTGATTCTGTTGTTACTGGTGTTTTGATGTGGTAATGGCACCTAGCATGCCTGGCAATCGGTGAATGCTGTGCTTTTCTAATACATTTATAAATAAAGCTTTTTATTTAATCAAGAAAGTTGATTGCTATCCCCGCATCACATCATACAATGTCCATGTAAAGTAATAAAGGTAAATACATGATCAGGGACAATTAGGCGTTAATAAGCAAACACTATTCTATAGTGTTAGTCATATAGTTGTCTATATGAATCCATACTTCATTCACTTCCTTACATCAATCCCTACTGTGAATCCCTTCTTCCCCATTTCATAAGTCATCATGTCATTCATAAATACACTGCATGGCAATTAATTCCTCACCTCTCCCCAAGCACTGAAATATCCCACAATCAGTGAGCTCCATCCCCACAAGCACATTCATAAAGGGGCTTATTTGCCCTCTTCCGCTGGGCTATGCAAGTCCATAATGTGGGAGCACAAAGCATCCCTGACTTCTGTTGCCCGGGTGCATCCAGTCCAGCTGTGGCAGCTGCACTTTCTGGCTGAGGGAACCGATTCAGTGGCCCCTTGCTGACATAGGTCCATTCAGGGGGAAATGGCTCACCTCTGGCTTCACAGAGATTGTGAAGAGCACAGCAAGCCCCAGTAACATGGACAGCATTGGTGACACTGGCATCCAAACAGATCTATAAACGTCTCCAACAGGCTTTCAGTCTGCCAAAAGCACATTCTACACCTGCTGGGGGTGTAATTTTGCCAGGGCCTCTGAAATTAGGGTACAGTTTATAAGCCAACGCAAAAGGGGGTATGTGGGGTCCCCCAGAATAACAGTGGGAACAGTAACTCCATTTCTGACAATGTCAGTTGGTGGGACTGGTGTCCCAGCCTGTCCTGAATGTAGATTCCTGATTGGCAAAAAACTCTGGCATCGTGAACTTTCCCAGTGCAGCCACGTTGCCATTCATAAATTGGCCTCTCTGGTCCATAAGGGCCTGCAAACCAATGGGGTAGTACCCACTGTGGTTTATATACTTGTGCTCCTTGAGGAGGGCAAATTATGGGCATGAGTCCCATCTAGGGCCCCAGTGCAGTTTGGGAATTCCATTCTCTCATAGCCAGCAATTACTTCAGGAATATCTTGTATGCGGGCACCAGGGAGTCTGGTACCTGGTTGGTTTGACTTGGGTCTGCGTGCTGCAATGTGGACGCTGGAGCCCCAGGTTCGAGTCTGTGTTAGAAAATTCTTAATGTAGGGTTAACAATTGGTGTAGATATTCAAGCCTTATGTTCTCTAACCCAGGGCCAGCTGACTTGAGTCCCACTCAGCCTGGGCTTACATTGCAGTATAGCCATACCCATAATGTCAATAAAAATAGCAGGACTAAATCCTCATTCAAGTGGACTGAAAATATACCCTTAAGGGTGTTGTTTTTTAAAACTGACTAAAGCCAAGAAATTCAATGTTAGGGTAAGAACTCCTATTGACCCTCCATACTTAACTGACTCCTTTGGTAGTACAATTAAGTTTCACACCTTGAACTGAGACCTTGTTGCTACTGTAGGCCAAGTATCTCCACACAGCGGTGAATTAAGGACTGAATGTCAACCTAAAGTCTGAAATACCTTTATTGTTATTTTAGTAGAGCTTAGTTTTTTTTAAAAGTCTGCATGTTTGAGCACATATCTCCACATCTATCATTTAAGTATTTTGTGGGCTGCTTTGATGTGTTGTACATGTACATTTTTTAGGGATGCTCATGATCTCTAATTTGAAATCCAAATAATTTATATACTCTTTTCTGCTATGTCATCAATCTACAATGGCAGAGGGAACATAATCTTCTTATATGTTAAATATGCTATTTAACAGATTTAATAGGTACAATGGTATTTCCAAACACACTTTGGGAGAAAATAGACTGCTCAATGGACTTAGTTTTCTGTTTGCACAATTATTAGTCAGTACATGCATTTTGAGTTAACAGGCTGATCATTTAAAAAGCAAGGGTTCAAAAAGGAAAATGTGGTAATCCTAAATTCTGAGTACAGTTTAACAGGATGACAGCTGCTGCTGCAGTAGTGAGAAGCATAGGTCTTCACACACCAGCCAAGAAGCTGGTCTCTTAAAAATAAATCTTACCGGGTGATGTAGAACAAGGAGGTAATATCTGGAGAAGTTGGATTCTGCACAAGGTGATTTTGCAAAGGTTAATATTATAAATCTGTTCTGCAGGAAAGCCTGAGGCAGTATTGCTGTAGGCCACCAAGAAGTTTTGTTTCTTCCATCCCCTTCCCTTGCTTATATGTCTGTTCATGTAGAATGCAAGCTCTGTGGGATAGGAACCAGCCTTCTACATCAGTGCAGCACCTAGCACACTGTTGACACGGTATAAATGATTAATAATAACCGAGCACTCGTGTTTCTGGGATCTCCACAATGGGCAGGAGAAGGGACCATGAGGAATGAAGTCAGGAATATGAAGTGAAAGAACTGTATTTACTGTGGGCCCTTTCTTTTCTGTGTCAGTTACTGTAGTCAGAGTTCTTTATATGCTGTGCACCATTGGCTTGTTGAGTCATTATAGGGGTGGTGGTAGTAATGTCTAAATCTCTTGTTCTGCTGTGTGATTTCATGACACTAACATTATTTTTTATTTTCATAGCACCTTTCATTCCTCAAACTCTTTACAAACTACATACGTTATGGACACCATCATTGCACTGTACCTATCTATGACATGAGAGGCTGGCAACGACTTGCTGCATGATACACAGTACAGGGATGGGAAATGTTGGCCAAAGGGTCTAGGGCAAATCCTTACCCTTATGAAAAGTGCCATGGGATCTCTAATGCCCACCACAGACAGGGGTTTTACAATATGAACCCCTTTCCCCCCCGCAGTAAACTCCATTGTAGTCAGTTTATTCAGAAGGATATAGGGTTGAGAGAGCCCTGCTTAGATTTGAAGCGGTGATTTCAGAAAGGCTAGATGCATCAACCAAGTAGTTTTAGCCCCTGAAGCATTCCCTTTGGCATATCATCTGTATCATCTTTGTTACATTAAAATCAAAAATACAAATCTAACATGGCAGAAAGTACAGTTTTCTTCCTTTTATTTTTTAGGTGAATTTGGTATGTGTTTTTTTTCTACTTCTGAAGAATTAAAATCCCAAACCAGACAGATTTTTTTATGTTCTATTTTATTAAAGTGACAGCAGTTTTAAAACATATTTACAAAGAGAGCTAGTCAGTATGTTTTAAATAATAGAAAAAAATTAACAGTTATTGTTTTAACACCCCCCCAAACAGTTCTGAATATTGTACCTTTTTCAGCAAAGAAAACTGTTTGCCACCTTGTGGACAGCCATGAGAATTATTTTCTTGCAAAACATTTTTCTGTAAATGTCTAATTATATTTGAAAGTGTTGGTGCCAGGAAAGAGCTCATAGCTGGTGTTCAGGTAGTTTCTGGTACAGGTTAAGTGTGATTCATCAACTAAAACAGTCAGATACAAAACAGTAAACAGAAATTTGTTTCTATATGCATTTTGATTTAGGGCATAAATTCAAATTTTAGATAATTGGAAATTGGATAACTGAGATTTACCTGTAATAGAGAAGATAGAAAAGTGGGAAAAAATGATTGATTGAAACCAACTGCTTTATTTAAATAATGTATTTCAGTGGGAATTTATTGAGGAGGAGACAATGCTAAGCTAACCACTAGTTCAGTATGATAAGCATTTTACTTCAGGGAATTATCTGTTTATTCTAAGATATGTGAAAATGAATTTGATTTGGAGTACACAGTGGACAGCTGCTCAAATCACAGAAACCGCATCCCTCTTGGTTAATTTAAGGCCCAATCCTGCAACTTGTTAAATGTTACCTGGAAGGTGCTGAGGGCTCCAAACTCTAATGCTGGAATGGGAATTGAGATGCTTAGCACCTCCCAGGATCAGTTGCACAGACTGTAAATTCCTGTAAGCATAGGACTGTCTACATGATTGTAAAGTCCCATGTTTACCTACAGCACTATATAAAAAGTAATATTTCACCATGATTGGCATTCTGCTCAGAAGGAAGGTGTAGGAATGGCTCAGTGAGGTGGGGGGAGAGAGCAGTGGTTTACACTTTGTCTCGCTCACATGGGGTAAGAATCCTCTTCTCTCAACTTAATATGCAAAATGTTCATCTAAAACATAGACAAAAGTGTCAATGTACTTGATGCTGAGCTTGCTTTTTACTCCATGTTTGTTGTTTTACCTTTTCCTCATTGAAGGACTGTTGAGAAAGATCTCAGCTAGGCTTATTGGCTGTCTAGCAGACCTTCTTTACATTCCACTTTCTTGTCTTATTCACACCTAGCAATTGTTGTGGCTATTGCTGTGATTGCTCCATACTCGAGCCTTTCTCCCTGATTGGTTCTACTTGCCCCCCATTTCTCTTTTGCAATTGTGAAAGGATGGAAGATGGTATCAGAATCTGGC